GGGGCTGAGAGCAAAAGCTGGGCTGGATCAAGGGCACTTAACAGAAGGAGGGATGCAATGATCTTCAGTGTAGAAACAAAAGAGTTATGTGCACAGCTTGCTCTGCACACCTTCCCCATCCTTTCTCTCTTTAGGGCTAGAAAGATTCACTGAAATAAGGATTTATTTACCAGGATTAAGATGTACTGCAAACCCAGCATTTTGCTCAGTGCCATGGACTGTTGTGAAGATTAAGTAAATTAAAATTTAAGGGTTTAGGCTCAGTGCCTGTAGCACAGTGGTTACAGCACCACCAACAAACATTAAGGCAGGCTAAACAACAGTGACAACTGCAACAAAAAATAGCCTGGCCTGGTGGCGGGTGCCTGTGGTCCCAGGTACTTGGGAGGCTGAGATAAGAGAATCGCTTAAGCTCAAGAGTTTGAGGTTGCTGTGAGCTGTGATGCCAAAGCACTCTACCTAGGGTGACATAGTGAGACTGTCTCAAAAAAAAAAAAAAAGATTTAAGGGTTTAGGGGCCAGGCATGGGGGCTCATGCCTGTAATCCTAGCATCCTGGGAGGCCAGGAGGCTGGAGGGTCACTTGAGCCAGGAGTTAGAGATCAGCCTAAGCAAGAGTGAGACCCCCATCTCTACAAAAAATAGAAAAATTAGCTGGGTGTTGTGGTGGGTGCCTGTATTGCCAGCTCCTTAGGAGCCTGAGGCAGGATGATTGCTCGAGCCCAGAAGCCTGAGGTTGCTGTGAGGTATGATGGCACTGCCCTTTAGCAGAGGTGACAGAGCAAGACCTTGTCTCAAAAGAATTAAGAAAGAAAAAAATGTATTCCATGTAAGAATTTTCTACCTGGCACAGTGGCTCATGCCTATAATCCTAGTACTCTGGGAGGCCCAGGCAGGTGGATTGCCTGAGCTCATGAGTTCAAGACCAGCCTGAGCTAGAGGGAGACCTCATCTCTAAAAATAGCCAGGCGTTGTGACAGGCACCTGTAGTCCCAGCTACTTTGGAGGCTGAGGCAAGAGGATTGCTTGAACCCAAGAGTTTGAGGTTGCTGTGAGCTAAGACACCACGGCACTCTACCAGGGGTGACCAAGTGAGACTGCCTCAAAAAAGAAAGAAAAAGAAAAGAAAAAGAATTTTCCCTTGTCCTTAGATGAAGATCTAGGCAATCCTATGATGTATCTGGGTTATTCTCAAGTACTAAGTTCTATATTTGCTTTAGGTTGGTGTGTAGGATATTTAGTCTGGGTGGAAAGCAACACTGCAGGCTTTATCCAAGGATGGGAATTTCCCCCTTGCTGGCAGGGATGGCTGCCTGTGAGCAGCTACTTACTTGGCTGGGCGAGGCAGTTGGGAAAGGTGGACTGTGAAAGGGTAGGGTTGACCTCCTCCTCACTCCTCCCTTACTAGCTGCTGTCACTGAACTCTTTGGGCTTGGATTGTCAGGCAGAGATGGAGGAAGAGCACCAAGTTCTAGCTTGACCAGACTGTCATGAGACAGTTGTGTTCTCTGGGCCTTCAGATTGCCAAAGCTGATCTCTTTTCTTTATGGGGACATTCACAGATCCCGTGGAGATTTCTCAGTAAGGTCCTTTTGGCAGCTCCTCAGCTTCCTCTGCCTCATCATCTGTCCTTGGTCTTCTGCCCATGCTCTTAACATAGGTCTTCCCTGTGGGGATCCCATTATTCTTCTAGGCTGGGAGGGATGGAAAAAAACCCAGCTCCAGCCTTGAGTACACGTGGCCTAGAGATTCTTGGAGTTCAGGCCAGCCCCATTGTAGCCACTTGTCTTTCCTTCTTTCCTGCCATGGGGACAGCCAGCTAGACATAATTTTATTTTTCTTTTGTCCCAGATCCATTTTTTTTTTTTTTTGGAGACAGTCTCAAACTATCACCCTCAGCAGAGTGCCATGGGTTGTAGTTCACACAGTCGTGGGTCTCCATTTTTGTTTTTTTGTTTTTTTTTTACAGACAAGTCTCACTTTGTTGCCCTCGGTAGTGTGCTGTGGCATCACACCTCACAGCAACCTCCAGCTCTTGGGCTTAGGTGATTCTCTTGCCTCAGCCTCCCAAGTAGCTGGGACTACAGGTGTCCACCACAATGCCCGGCTATTTTTTTGTGTCAGTTTGGCTGGGGGCCGGGTTCGAAACCATTAACCTTGGTATATTGGGCTGGCCCCTTACCCACTGAGCCACAGGTGCCACCCTGCTTCAGTTTTTCTAATTTTATTATTTTTTTTTGAGACAGAGTCTCACTTTGTCACCCTCAGTAGAGTGCTGTGTCATCATAGCTCACAGCAACCTCAAACTCTTGGCTTCAAGTGAATTTTATTTTTTTTGCAGTTTTTGGCGGGGGCTGGGTTTGAACTCACCATCTCCGGTATATGGGGCTGGTGCCCTACTCCCTGAGCCACAGGTGCTGCCCTTTAAGTGATTCTCTTGTCTCAGCCTTCTGAGTAGCTAGGACTACAGGTACTCCTCACAATGCCCAGCTATTTTTTTAGAGACGAGGTCTTCCTCTTTTGTTTGTTTGTTTGTTTTATTTTTTTGAGACAGAGCCTCAAGCTGTCGCCCTGGGTAGAGTGCTGTGACATCACAGCTCACAGCAACCTCCAACTCCTGGGCTCAAGCGATTCTCCTGCCTCCGCCTCCCAGGTAGCTGGGACTACAGGCGTCCACCACACCTAGCTATTTTTTGGTTGCAGCTGTCGTTGTTTGGTGGGCCTAGGCTGGATTCGAACCCACCAGCTCAGGTGTATGTGGCTGGGTCCTTAGCCGCTTGAGCCACAGGCGCCAAGCTGAGGTCTTGCTCTTTTTCAGGCTGGTCTTGAACTTGTGAGCTCAGGCAATCCAACTGCCTGAGTGCTAGGGCCTTCCAGAGTGCTAGGATTACAGGTGTGAGCCACCTCGCCCAGCCTTGTCACTGATCTTGTTAAGGGAAACCTTGGCCTTTGGGGCTCACAGACTGTCTCTCTTTCATCTCCAAACTCTGATCCTTGCTGTAGGCAAGGGGCTTGAGAGTCACTTCTCAACCATTTGCCTTGAATGTGTTTCATGTAGTCTGGCCTGGCCCCTTTGGGGATGCAAGGCCTATTTATTACACCTCATTACATCAGCTTGGTGCAAACTTCAATGTTAGCATCTTGAATGTTTTTCTCTGGTTCTTTCCCTAAGGGGCAAGGGTACCAACTTCAAGTGAAGAAGTAGCCACCAAGGGCTTTGGGGATTAGATCCCTCTGGACCTTCCTCCAGGGCCCAGACCCTCCTCCTTGACCTGCAAGTGGTGGTTACTTTCTCTGGGGAGATGGCAGTGGGGTAGGTGAGGAATGGGACCTTGGAGTGGGACTGGGGGCAGCTAAAAGGGGCTTTATCCCCCATCAGGCCTCTGTCTGCAATCCAAGTCATGGATGCAAGGCTTGAATGGAGAGAGGGTTCCAGAAGCCAGGATTGTCCAGTGGAGGAAATGGCTTGGTGCAGGAGGCAGAGTTATGCTCCAGTGCCTGCAAAGCCAGTTGGGTTAGCTTATCAGGAAAGGGTTCAGGTCTGAACAGAGTGGAGAGGAAGAAAGGGGAGGAAGAGGGCGGTGCCTGTGGCTCAGTGAGTAGGGCGCTGGCCCCATATACTGAGGTTGATGGGTTTGAACCCGGCCCCAGCCAAACTGCAACCAAAAAAATAGCCAGGCGTTGTGGTGAGCATCTGTAGTCCCAGCTGCTTGGGAGGCTGAGGCAAGAGAATCACCTCCTGGGTGGGAGAGAGGTAGGGATGTGATGTGATAAGGAAAAGGTGTTCGAATATCGTTGAGGGCTAGAAAGACTGTCCAGGGGCTGAGCGGTTTGGAATGACCACCGGAGGATCACAGGTGTGGCTCCCACAGTCTGAGCCCCCTCCTGGGTCCACTTTAGCTGATGAGCACCACTTCCCCGTTGGTCATACTAGTTTGGCATCCTTCCTGTCCACTGTGACAGGTTTGTCTGTGGCCTGTCCCCACAAGGACAGCCTTTTGAAAATGTGATCCTCTCCAGGAAGCGAGCCCCAACTAGGAGGA